TGGTGCTTTTCGCGTATTATCGCGTTTGTAATTGTATGGTCTTTCGGCAATAACGCGGGATGCCTTTCCTCGTATGGCAGGTTGCTCCTTGCCAATCTACCTCCAACTCTTAATATTCCTAAATTGTCTACAAAYGGGCTAAGTACGGAGAATGATGCGCAAACCTCTTTACCGGACTTGGTTAATTTAATGATCTCGGGAAATGCTTATTCCTGTATCAATCTAATCGCGATTATTTCCGCGCCTTTCAATTCGTCCACGGTTAACTCAACCATTATTCTTTTCTCCTTTAAATTGCGCGAGTTACGTGCGAATCTAACGAAATACGCGATAATGCGCTTTAATTTGACGAACGAGGAGTACCGTCTAAATAGTTCGAACGGAGTAGCTACCCTTGCGTGAGTTACAATCTTTTTCTTTTCCGGGATTTCGATTGGTTTTAATCTACTATGCGGCCAATTTGATTCCGGCTGGATAGGCCATGCAGGACCGGACTTCCAGAGCTTACTTTTACGGTGTTCGGCAGGTGTAACACCGCGAGAAATTAAATCCGCGGGGTTATGTTCGGACGATACATGACGCCACAGCTCGCGAGCTGTGCTCTCTTGAATTTTAGCTACGCGATGTGCTACGTAGGTTTTTAACGTGTGAGGCGGAGTGTTGRGCCAATGCAAAACTACCGTAGAGTCCGTCCAAAATATTGTACGGCAGAAATCATTTCTACGCAAAGCGTTTATAGTAGCCTTAAAAAGACGCAAAAGTATTAAGGCGCCGCCAAGTTCTAGGCGCGGAAGCGATTGCGTTTTAAGCGGCGCTACCTTGGATTTATCGCAGACTAATCGTAAAGTGGGATTTTTTCCTAACGTTTTAACATAAATGCACGCGCCGTAAGCCCTTTCGCTCGCGTCACAAAAACCATGCATTTCCAGTTCTTCTTCATCACCTGCTACGTTGCGCGCAAACCTTATCTCCTCGAGCGTGTGGAGATTTTGGCGGAACTCCTGCCATATTTTATATATATCGGCGGGGACGTTTTCGTCCCATGTTGATTTTAATTGCCGTAGCCGTTGCATCATCGTTTTCGCGTTAATAACTACCGGTCCTAATAGACCTAGCGGGTCGAATAATTGAGAAATTTCGGAAAATATAACACGCTTAGTAACCTTCGATGGATCAGCTGMTCGCTTTACCGTATAGCCTATGTTGTCTTCGGCCGCGTTCCAATTAACACCTAATTTTTTTATCGTGCCTGACGAATCTAAATTTATGATGTTATTATCTGCGGTA